ACCGCCACAGGAATGGAAGACTCAGAGTTACCTCTGCTGCAGAGGATACGTTCATTAGAGTTACCAGCCTCAGAAAATGCTTCACAGAGTTCAAGTCACAGACACATCTCAACATCAACTGTAACCAAAAAAGTGTTAAACAAATCAAAATATATTTTATATTTGAGATTCTTCAAATAACCACCCTTTGCCTTGATGACAGCTTTGCACACTCTTGGCATTCTCTCAACCAGCTTCACCTGGAATGCTTTTCCAACAGTCTTGAAGGAGTTCCCACGTATTCTGAACACTTGTTGGCTGCTTTTCCTTCACTCTGCGGTCCGACTCATCCCAAACCATCTCAATTGGGTTGAGGTCGGGGGTTTGTGGAGGCCACGTCATCTGATGCAGCACTCCATCACTCTCCTTCTTGGTCAAATAGTCCTTACACAGCCTGGAGGTGTTGGGTAATTGTCCTGCTGAAAAACAAATGATAGTTCCACTACGCACAAACCAGATGTGATGGCGTATCGCTGCAGAATGCTGTGGTTGCCATGCTGGTTAAGTGTGCCTTGAATTCTAAATAAATCACCAACAGTGTCACCAGCAAAGCACCCCCACACCATCACACCTCCTCTTCCATGCTTCACGGTGGGAAACACACATGCAGAGATCATCCGTTCACCTACTCTGTGTCTCACAAATACACGGCGGTTGGAACCAAAAATCTCCAATTTGGACTCATCAGACCAAAGGACAGATTTCCACCGGTCTAATGTCCATTGCTTATGTTTCTTGTCCCAAGCAATTATCTTATTATTATTGTTGTCCTTTATTAGGGGTTTCTTTGCAGCAATTCGACCATGAAGGCCTGATTCACACAGTCTCCTCTGAACAGTTGATGTTGATGTGTCTGTTACTTGAACTCTGTGATGCATTTATTTGGGCTGCAATTTCTGATGCTGGTAACTCTAATGAACTTATCCTCTGCAGCAGAGGTAACTCTGGGTCCTCCTTTCCTGCTGCAGTCCTCATGAGAGACAGTTTCATCATAGCGCTTGATGGTTTTTGCGACTGCACTTGAAGAAATGTTCCGGATTGACTGACCTTCATGTCTTAAAGTAGTGATGGACTGTCGTTTCTCTTTGCTTATTTGAGCTGTTCTTGCCATAATATGGACTTGGTCTTTTACCAAAAAGGGCTATCTTCTGTATACCACCCCAACCTTGTCACAACACAACTGATTGGCTCAAACGCATTAAGAAGGAAAGAAATTCCACAAATTAACTTTTAACAAGGCACACCTGTTAATTGAAATGCATTCCAGGTGACTACCTCATGAAGCTGGATGACAGAATGCCAAGAGTGTGCAAAGCTGTGATCAAGGCAAAGGGTCGCTACTTTGAAGAATCTCAAATATAACATATATTTTGATTTGTTTAACACTTTTTTGGCTACTACATGATTCTTTTGACTGGTACTTTTGACTGGTTGTCAGTTTGATAATGCTAATTACTCCTTTGTTATGTTTATCCTGGCAATCTCCACCTTTGGATGTTTTATGTTAAGCCTATTCCCCATAGTCACCTGGCACTACTCTGTCATGTCTGCACCTCAATGTTATATGTTCCTAATGTTTCCGTTTTGTATCTCCCTTCCAGACCATTACATTCTTGTTATCCACATCCTATCTCCAAGGCCTTACAAGCCACAACTCCTAAAACATCCTTCCTAACCTTCCCACCGGCCTTACAAGCCCTACAAAACCTCAATTCCAAACCCTCCCCCAATGTGCCTCTGTTCGTTCCTGTGTTCAAGTGTGTTTGTGTAATAAATACACCTAAACCTGGATTCCTGCTCCATCTCCTCATTTGCATTCTGACCGATGTGCCATGGTGGCAGCAACAGTCCTGAACCTAGCTTACAGTCCATCCTAGCCCTGGTCCTTTTCTTCACTACTACTATTTGGATAGATAGGAGGTGGAGGATAAAGGTAGATAATGTCTACCGTATCTAATTCTATGGTTGCAGGTCATTACTTGGCACTGATTCTCCTCATAGGCAGTACTTATATGAGTTTGACCTAAAAGTAATGTTACTGTGTGAATTGCATCCCGATTCCCCACCTTTCTCCCAAAGTGTGCACTTGCACACTTTCTTGTATGGATTTAGCAAAGCAATGCTGGAAACTATCCTATGCTTTTAAATCCATGACGAGGAGTGTGCAAGTGCACACTTCAGGAGAAGGGTGGAGAAGTGGGATGTAGCCCTTGTAGCTGAAGCCTACAGTGCTCTCTCAATCACTTCTACGCCTAGTCCTGTAGCTGAAGCCTACAGCAAAATATTCTGGATGTAAGTGATACTCTACAGTATGGTAGTGTTCAAGGTATTGTAGTCCCATCCTCCACCACAGTTCTTGTGACATTTTGTTTGAAGGTCAAGTTTCTGTTTGGATACGGTAGTAAATATTGTCAATTGTCAACGCTACATTAGTGAGTTATTATATCCCACAGGGGACAATACCAGATACTCTGTAAGGGGGCTGATCTATTATATGGACTGGAATCAATCTGATTCTTCTGAATTTCTGTTGTCTGAAGGGTACAAAACATTTTTGGGGAAGAAAAGCTTTTTCTATATTCGCTTAATTGCTCCAGTCCAGACCTTATATTGTGCCTTTCAACTCATCTATTTTGTGTTCCAACCCGTTGGAAACTATGAGAAGGGAGTGGTTCACCTAGCTAACATCAGAGATCTGTATATAATGATGAGATGTTCATTGTCACGCCCTGGCTCTGGGACTCTGTTATGTTGAGCCAGGGTGTGTTGTTTCTATGTGTTTTGTGTGCTAGGTTGATTATCTAGTTCATTTGTTTCTATGTTGGCCGGTGTGGTTCTCAATCAGAGGCAACGTGAATCAGCTGTTGCTTGTTGTCTCTGATTGGGAACCATACTTAGGCAGCCTGTTTTCCACAGTGTGTTGTGGGATCTTGTTCCGTTTGGTTTGTGTAACCGTAGGACTTCACGTTTCGTATCGTTTGTTGTTTTGTTCGTTGTGTTGTACATTCAATAAATATTATGTACGCATATCACGCTGCGCCTTGGCCCGCTTCTTCTCAAGACGATCGTGACATTCATGTCTCCGCCCTAACAATGGGAATCATTGTCCCATAAGTGGGAAGGCAGGGGACAAGCTTAAGTCCAAAATAAGCCCATAGAAACGCATTGGGCTTATTTTGGACATATTTTGTAAAGAGTGAAACCTCTCGCTTCACCTCTTCCTCTCTGCTAACGTCATTGCTGTGTGCAGGCAAACCCCAGCAGCTCCTCCAGCAGACTGTGGTGAATGATGGACTGAGTCAGGCGCATGAGTAAAATAACCGGATGCAGATGTATTCCTTCCAGACATACAATGCGCCTACAATGGCAATCGAAACAGGTATAGGGGAAACAATCCTCCCTGACCAAACACAGTCTCAGAAAATACAATAAATGTAATGACACAAGGGAAAATCAACCCTGGCAAAATAAATGAGAGAGTATCTCAACCGAGCTACTCTCCTCCCACATAGAACAATCACTCACAAAGACAAGGGGGCAGAGGGAACACTTATACACAGACTAATTAGGGGATGAGCACCAGGTGTGTGTGATTGACAAGACAAGACAAGTGGAGTGATGAGAACGCCTTACACTGGGGAACTACCATGTGATCGGGAAAGGAGATAGATAGGGTACAGTGCGCCGCAAAGGGCTCTGAACAAGTGTGGGTGTTCGATACCTGGGGTGATGCGTGAGTGCCCTGCCTACCGCCTCCAGACCCAAAAGAACGTTGACTGCGACATGAGGTGTATTGTCCCTTCGTGCCACCAGAATGGCACTGTCACTGTTCTCCTCCGCTCTCTCGACCGGCGGCTCCACCCAGCTCCATCTGCTCGGGATCCAAGTTGTCCGGGGTGGGAATGGGAAGACCCCTACCAGGACGTCCTCTGGCTGCCGGCAGATTGTCCAGCCGGATGGCCATGTCCACCAGTTGTGAGAACGATAGCATGGCATCCCAGCAGGCTAGCTCCCGTCGGACGTCCTCCCATAGGTGGCACCGGAAATGGTCGATCAGGGCCCTCTCGTTCCACCCAGACCCCACTGCCAGCGTCTGGAACCACAGCGCGTAGTCCTGTGTGGTCCTCATCCCCTGCCTCAGCTGGACCAGCCACTCGCCCGCCTCTCGACCCTAGGGCGGGTGATCGAAAACCGCCCGAAAGAGGCGAGCGAACTCCCTGTAGTCTTCCAACACGGCTCCTCCTTCGTTCCACACCACGCTGGCCCACTCCGAGTTGTGCGTTCCGAGATGCTGTTCTGCACACCACTGTTGTACTGCTCCATTATTTGCCTGTTTGTGGCCCGCCTGTTAGCTTGACTGGATGTTTTTTGTTTGTCACATCATTCTCGGTAAACCCTAGACACTGTTGTGTGTGAAAAGCCCAGGAGGCCGGCCATTTCTGAGATACTGGAACCGGAACGCCTGGCACCGACGAACATACCACGCTCAACGTCGCTTAGGTCACTCATTTTGCACAGCCTAATGTTCAATTGAACAGTAACTGAATGCCTCAATGCCTGTCTGCCTGCTCTATATAGCAAGCCACGGCCACGTGACTCACTGTCTGTTGGAGTGAACCATTTTTCACTCCTACATGACTCCAGACCCAGGACTTCCAGTAATCCACTGACAGTGTCATTTGTCCATCAGTGGGTGGGAGGGAGCTGTAGGAACAGGTTTATATGGGGAAGGAGGGAGGAGGTAGGAGGAGGGTGGCAGAAGGAGAGAGTTAGAGCTAGGGAGTGTATGTGTGAGTGTGTAATGACCCTGTAGGACTATGTTGTTTGAGTGAGTGAGTGAGTGCGTGTGTATCAGAATCTTAGTGGTGCTCCATAGCTAGGTAGCTGTTTGTTTGGGAGTGTGTGTCTCTCAGCAGGTAGAGTTATCAGTCTCAGGGTCTATTTGTGGGTGACAAGACAGTATGATCCCTCTACTCCTCTCCCTGCTCCTGGCTTGGCCTCCAGGGACCGGGGCACAGCAGGACCCACTCATGCCCTTCATGGAGCACCTTGATACAGACGTCATCCTGAAGTGGGGGTTCAGTGAGGTCCAGGGCACCATCATGTTCCAGTTGACCGTAAAGACCACTGGCTGGCTGGGATTCGGGTTCAGCCCAAATGGAGGCATGGCTGCATCGGATATCGTTATTGGAGGGGTCGGACCTAATGGCACCTATTTCATGGTATCTAAACGATTAACCTGTTATTATTAACTCATTTATAATCATTACTATTAGACACAAGAGAATCAGTGGTAATGTATTCTAGTAGTTGTTGTTCTTTTACTTGCAGGAGTAGCACTAGTTATATTGTAGGTATAGGTCTTAGAAGTAGGCTACTGTAACAGTAAAGTGGTTATAGTAGTAGCAGTAATCATCATCATCTAGTCCAGTGTTTCCCATCTCCAGTCCTCCAGTACCCCCAACAGAACACATTTTTGTTGTAGCCCTGGACATCTCACCTGATTCTACTCATTAAGGGCTTGATGATTAGTTGACAAGTTGAATTAGGTGTGCTTGTCCGGGGCTACAACAAAAATGTGTGCTGTTGGGGATACTGGAGTTGGGAAACACTGATCTAGTCATCTGGAGTTGCAGGTGTCTTGATTTTCAACACCTGCAAACCTTTGGAAGATGAAATTACTCTTTAAAGTTACATGTGAATGTGTTGCTCCTGCTTAAGTTTCAGAGAAACTCCACAACATTTTAGTTTAATAACACAGAACTCTATTAAGCTTTATATGGACTCCAGGTAACATCAGTATTTCTGTGTTGTCTCTCTTTTAGGATTATCATGCCACAGGGAACTCATTTCCCCTGGTGGATAAGAAACAGAGCTACAACCCTCCTGTCCCTGATCGAGGAAGACGGTCAAACCACCATGACCTTCTGGAGGTCCATCTATTCTTGTGATGAGGAAGACTTCCACATCACCGTGAGTCAATTGTTTCACACAGAGACACAAACTGTTAACAAGTAATCTGTACTAAAAGTCTTGAAAGGATTGAAGAGGAAAATCATGTTCCGTTATCATGATGGACTATTTCTATTCATAAAAGGTCAGTTTACAAATATCTAAGCAACCTGGTTTTGAGAGTTGTTCCCTTTTTACCTAAATAAATGAATTCTGTAGAACAAACATAGAGTTAGTTAGTGATGGTTGGCAAAAATATCCTTCCCCATCTGTTGCCATGGTAATAATGGTATGGCCTTTAGGCGCTCACACCCCTGGGAAATAGGATCTGCTCCTATGGCCGTTCCCATGGTTCAGTGCCTAGTTTAAGGTGTGTTATGTTCCATTGTTTGGACCATAATCTTTTTCCTGGGCTCTGCCCCAGGTTTTTACACTATATTGTGGTCTGGCTTTTCATTGTTGTGCTTCTCTTCTCATACTCTCACTACAGGCCTCAATGCAAAGCTCCAGTTTCCTCCTAATCCCCTGATTCATTTCTCTTCTGTTCAGTGTGTTCACTCTAATGTACCTGCTCTTTGAAAGCACTATGGAGACCATCTCTAGTTTACATCCACCTACTGATTATTTTATTTAGATCAATTCAACACAAATATTCAGGGGATTGGAACAATGGCCTAAACACAGGGAGGCAGGCAAACATTTTCAAAAGTGAGCAGTTGTAACCCTAAATGGTTCACAAAAACATTACATTTACATTTACATTTTAGTCATTTAGCAGACGCTCTTATCCAGAGCGACTTACAGTTAGTGAATACATTTTTTTTTTTTATACTGCCCCCCCCCCCCCCCCCCCCGTGGGAATCAAACCCACAACCCTAGCGTTGCAAACGCCATGCTCTATCAACTGAGCTACATCCCTGCCGGCCATTCCCTCCCCTACCCTGGACGACGCTGGGCCAATTGTGCGCCGCCCATGAGTCTCCCGGTCGCGGCCGGCTGCGACAGAGCCTGGATTCGAACCAGGATCTCTAGTGGCACAGTTAGCACTGCGATGCAGTGCCTTAGACCACTGCGCCACTCAGGAGTCTAAAACAGCATTAATAAAGACAATGGTGTCATAACAAGTGTCAAAACACCAATGTCACCACATTCTGCAGGCCCTACTGAGTGTTTACTGCCTACTAGGCTTTTCCTTCACACGTAGTCCTCACCCTGTGATTTTTGTTTTTCTGTGCTCTTGTATGTTTTATGTAAATTGATGTTGTTTTGTTCTATCCCCCTCTTCTTCTCATAGGAGATTCCAGTGAAGCTGATCTATGCCTATGGGACGTCTGATGACATAAGGTACCATGCCAATAGAAGGGGGACCAAGGAGGTCAACCTGCTCAAGTTCATGCCCAAATCCAGCCCCCCAGACAGCAACTATCTGGACTTCGTTGTGGAGAATGTAAGAGTGACCTCACATACATGTCCTGTAGGGGGATCATGCATTTCCTCTAGATCAGGCACAGCAGGACTTTTAGTTTGAAGTAAAATCTTTTACTTTACTCCTGGGGTGGAACAGGTCAAAGATGATTGAATTAAATTAATTTGAATTAATATTGTGATATTGAATATACAGGAGGTAGTATCTTTAGTCTACAACATGTGACTGTGGAACAGAAGGGATTGGCAACACTTATAGTATTAAAGTGATGCTCCAGAACATTTGTATAATTTCGGCCAGTAGTTTTGAAAGTGGCGCTCACGAGCCAAGACGGGTCCCTGTTTTTTGTGTACTACGTCATCCATTTTGTATGCTATGTTACGTCCTGCAAATTACTATGATTAATTATTATTATTATCGTTTTTTATTTTTTGCAATTCGTATGATATGTTATGAATCCAATTCATACAAAATGTTACAAATCTGTTGTGCTTAAGATCACGGACTGCATCTTTAACACAGTAGTTCCTCTTCCATTGCAGGTTACTGTCCCTGCTGAACATACATATTACCACTGCAAGATCATGAAGGTGCCAAAGCTCAACGGGAAAAATCATATCTATCGGGTAAATGACCCCTCTCTCATTTCATGGTCTAATCATTTTACAATTACATCATAAGTTTGTCATTAGAGTAATCTCTTCCCTCTCCCTGCTTCTTCTCTCTATGCCTCCTTCTCTCTCCCTGTCGGTTTCAGATTGAGCCGGTGATTGAGCACCTGGACCTGGTCCACCACATGCTTCTCTATGGCTGCCCCTCCTCTGTGAACCATACCTACGAGCAGAAATGCTACATGGGAGTATCAGGGGAGGACTGCATCAGAGTGGTGTCTGCCTGGGGGGTGGGAGGAGGGGTGAGAGACTGCCCCCTTCTGGAAACATTAATATATACACATGCATGCATGAACACACTTTAGTCTGATCTCTGTCTCTACATTGTCTTCTATATTCTAGGCTTTCGAGCTTCCAGAAAAAGCTGGCATCCCTATTGGAGGACAGAATAATGATGAGTTCTACAGGCTGGAAATTCACTACAACAACCCGGCCCAGGAAGCAGGTAACATTTCACGAGCTACTAGCTAGTAATTCAAATTTTCCAAACCACTAATATAGGATTAACAGGTTTACGCTGCTCCAATCTTGATGATTAGGTGAATATTGTGCTAGTCCTTGAATAGAACAAAGCCTACACACCCTGAAGTTCTCCAGGACTTGGATTGAACTAAGCGATCATCTAAAGCCCTCATCATCACGTCTTCTACTCTGTGTCTCCCCCTGCAGGCCGGAGGGATAGCTCAGGCCTGAGGCTGTACTACACTGCCCAGCTCAGGCAGCATGACGTGGGTATCATGACTACAGGCCTACTTGTGGCCTCTGGCTGGGGCTACGCTATCCCTCCCAATGCCACAGCATTCCACAGCTACGGCCTCTGCAACACATCACACTTCTCAGACGTACGTTCAGTGCCCTTTGACACTGTATAAATTGAAGAAGGGTGGGTTAATGTTGGTGACATTGTAGAGCAGATTGTCGTCTAAAAAAAGGAAAGAGCAAGCTTACTCTTTCCTTTCTGGTAAACTATGCATAGCTATTTGTTCAAAATGACCCTGCTTTCTGTCTTTCTCCAGATCCTGCCTGACCCTGTCCCTGACCTCTCTGTTTTCTCCGTGGTGCTGCACACTCATCTGGCTGGGAGGAAGGTGCGAGCTGGCCACATCAGGTGAGAGAGAGAGGCATGGTCCCCCCCACATTCTGAAATCGCATTTTTGTCCCCCCCCAGTTTTATCATTGGAATGTGATACAAAACAGTGTGTGCTTTGGGACCATGCGGCGCCTCCGAGCGGTTGGGTAGGCTGTTTGGAGTGTTTATCTGACTGGATAAAAAATGTATATATACAGTACCAGTCAAAAGTTTGGACACACCTACTCATTCCAGGGTTTTTCTTTATTTTTACTTTTTTCTACATTGTAGAATAATAGTGAAGACATCAAAACTATGAAATAACACATATGGAATCATGTGGTAACCAAAAAATTGTTAAACAAATCAAAATATATGTTGTATTTGAGATTCTTCAAAGTAGCCATCCTTTGCCTTGATGACAGCTTTGCACACTCTTGGCATTCTCTCAACCAGTTTCATGAGGTAGTCACCTGGAATGCATTTCAATTAACAGGTGTGCCTTGTTAAAAGTTAATTTGTGGAATTTCTTTCCTTCTTAATACGTTTGAGCCAATCAGTTGTGTTGTGACAAGGTAGGGGTGGTATACAGAAGATAGGGCTATTTGGTAAAACACCAAGTCCATATTATGGCAAGAACAGCTCAAATAAGCAAAGAGAAATGACAGTCATTACTTTAAGACATGAAGGTCAGTCAATATGGAAAATGTCAAGAACTTTGAACGTTTCTTCAAGTGCAGTCGCAAAAACCATCAAGCGCTATGATGAAACTGGCTCTCATGAGGACCGCCACAGGAAAGGAAGAACCAGAGTTACCTCTGCTACAGAGGATAAGTTCATTAGAGTTACCAGCCTCAGGAATTGCAGCCCAAATAAATGCTTCACAGAGTTCAAGTAACAGACACATCTCAACATCAACTGTTCAGAGGAGACTGTGTGAATCAGACCTTCATGGTCGAATTGCTGCAAAGAAACCACTACTAAAGGACACTAATAAGAAGAAGAGACTTGCTTGGGTCATGAAACACGAGCAATGGACATTAGACCGGTGGAAATCTGTCCTTTGGTCTGATGAATTCAAATTTGAGATTTTTGGTTCCAACCGCAGTGTCTTTGTGAGATGCAGAGTAAGTGAACGGATGATCTCTGCATGTGTGGTTCCCACTGTGAAGCATGGAGGAGGAGGTGTGATGGTGTGGGGGTGCTTTGCTGGTGACACTGTCAGTGATTTATTTAGAATTCAAGGCACACTTAACCAGTATGGCTACCACAGCATTCTGCAGCGATACGCCATCCCATCTGTTTTGGGCTTAGTGGGACTATCATTAGTTTTTCAACAGGACAATGACCCAACACAACTCCAGGCTGTGTAAGGGCTATTTGACCAAGAAGGAGAGTGATGGAGTGCTGCATCAGATGACCTGGCCTACACAATCACCTGACCTCAATTGAGATGGTTTGGGATAAGTCGGACAGTAGAGTGAAGGAAAAGCAGCCAACAAGTGCTCAGCATATGTGGGAACTCCTTCAAGACTGTTGGAAAAGCATTACAGGTGAAGCTGGTTGAGAAAATGCCAAGAGTGTGCAAAGCTGTCATCAAGGCAAAGGGTGGCTACTTTGAAGAATCTCAAATATAAAATATATTTTGATTTGTTTAACACTTTTTTGGTTACTACATGATCAAAAGTTTGGGGTCACTTAGAAATGTCCTTCTTTTCGAAATAAGCAATTTTTTTGTCCATTAGAAGAACATCAAATTGATCAGAAATGCAGTGTAGACATTGTTAATGTTGTAAATGGCTATTGTAGCTGGAAACGGCTGATTTTTAATGGAATATCTACATAGGCGTACAGAGGCCCATTATCAGCAACCATCAGTCATGTGTTCCAATGGCACGTTGTGTTTGCTAATCCAAGTTTATCATTTTAAAAGGCTAATTGATCATTAGAAAACCCTTTAGTAAGTATGTTAGCACAGCTGAAAACTGTTGTGCTGATTAAAGAAGCAATGAAGTTGAGTATCTGGAGCATCAGCAATAAAACTGTCATTCTTGAGACTAGTTGAGTATCTGCAGCATCAGCAATTGTGGGTTCGATTACAGAATCAAAAGGGCCAGAAACAAATAACTTTCTTCTGAAACTCGTCAGTCTATTCTTTATCTGAGAAATGAAGGCTATTCCATGCGAGAAATTGCCAAGAAACTGAAGATCTCGTACTACTCCCTTCACAGAACAGCGCAAACTGGCTTTAACCAGAACAAAAAGAGGAGTGGGAGGCCCTGGTGCACAACTGAGCAAGAGGACAAATACATTAGAGTGTCTACTTTGAGAAACAGACGCCTCACAGGTCCTCAACTGGCAGCTTCATTAAATAGTACCTTCAAAACACCAGTCTCAACATCAACAGTGAAGAGGCGACTCCGGGATGCTGACCTTCTAGGCAGAGTTGCAAAGAAAAAGCCATATCTCAGACTGGCCAATAAAAATAAAATATTAAGATGGGCAAAAGAACACAGACACTGGACAAAGGAAGATTGGAAAAAAGTGTTATGGACAGACAAATCGAAGTTTGAGGTGTTCGGATCACAAAGAAGAACATTTGTGAGACGCAGACCAAATGAAAAGATGCTGGAGGAGTGCTTGATGCCATCTGTCAAGCATGGTGGAGGCAATGTGATGGTCTGGGGGTGCTTTGGTGGTGGTAAAGTGGGAGATTTGTACAGGGTAAAAGGGATCTTGAAGAAGGACGGCGCTTGATTGGAGACAATTTCCTCCTACAACAGGACAATGACCCAAAGCACAGCTCCAAACTAGGCAATAACTATTTAGGGAAGAAGCAGTCAGCTGGTATTCTGTCTATAATGGAGTGGCCAGCACAGTCACCGGATCTCAACCCTATTGAGCTGTTGTGGGAGCAGCTTGACCGTATGGTAGGTAAGAAGTGCCCATCAAGCCAATCCAACTTGTGGGAGGTGCTTCAGGAAGCATGGGGTGAAATCTCTTCAGATTACCTCAACAAATTGACAACTAGAATGCCAAAGGTCTGCAAGGCTGTAATTGCTGCAAATGGAGGATTCTTTGACGAAAGCAAAGTTTGAAGGACACAATTATTATTTAAATTAAAAATCATAATTTCTAACCTTGTCAATGACTGCATTTCCTATGCATTTTGCTATATTTCCTATTCAAACTCATTTCATGTATGTTTTAATGGAAAACAAGGACATTTCTAAGTGACCCCAAACTTTTGAACGGTAGTGTATATGTCCTTCCCACTTCTAAAACCAAAGTTGCACCCCTGGAGAGAGGACACCCAAAAATATGATCATGACAGGGGATATTGTCACTCAATGTCACGAACGTTGACTGATGACTCGTGGAACCAAGGCACAGCGTGATAAGCGTACATTTTATTTAGTACACAACACACGAACAAAACAACAAAACGAACGAGACGTGAAGTCATGAGGTTACAACAACACAAACCTTTACGGAACAAGATCCCACAAACTAACTGGTGCCAACAGGCTGCCTAAGTATGGTCCCCAATCAGAGACAACGAGCTACAGCTGCCTCTGATTGGGAACCACCCTGGCCCACATAGATCTAAACGATCTAGAACAAAAAACATAGAAAACTAAACATAGAAAAATCCACACCCTGGCTCAACATTTAAGAGTCCCCAGAGCCAGGGCGTGACAGTACCCCCCCCCAAAGGCGCGGACTGCGACCGCGCCACACAAACACAAGAGGGTAGGCACCGGTGGAACAGGCACGGGCCGTGCCGGACTGGACACACGCACCACTAGCTTGGCGCGGGGAGCAGGAACGGGCCGGACCGGGCTGACGACGCGCACCACTGGCTTGGTGCGGGGAGCAGGAACGGGCCGGATCGGGCTGACGACGCGCACCACAGGCTTGGTGCGGGGAGCAGGAACAGGCCGAACCGGGCTGGCGACGCGCACCACTGGCTTGGTGCGGGGAGCAGGAAAGGGCCGGACCGGGCTGACGACGCGCACCACAGGCTTGGTGCGGGGAGCAGGAACAGGCCGGACTGGGCTGGCGACGCACCACTGGCTTGGTGCGGGGAGCAGGAACAGGCCGGACCGGGCTGGCGACGCGCACCACTGCCTTGGTGCGAGGGACAGGAACAGGCCGGACCGGGCTGGCGACGCGCACCACTGGCTTGGTGCGAGGAACAGGAACAGGCCGGACCGGGCTGGCGACGCGCACCACTGGCTTGGTGCGGGGAGATGGAACAGGCCGGGCTGGACTGGGAACACGCACCACTGGCTTGGTGCGGGGAGCCGGAACGGGCCGGGCCGGACTGTGGAGGCGGACTGGAGGTCTGGAGCGGAGAGCTGACACAACCCGTCCTGGCTGAATGCCTATTTCCACACAATATGTGTGAGGCATCAGCACAGGACGTACAGGGCTGTGCACTCGTACTGGCGCTACAGCACGTGGCACTGGCGCAGGATATACGGGACCGAGGAGGCGTACTGGAGGCCACGAGCGTTGAGCCGGCACACCCCGTCCTGGCTGCATGCCCATCTTAGCACGACACGTGCGTGGTGCTAGCACCGGACGTACAGGACTGTGCCGGAACACTCGCGGCACAGTACGTGGCTCCGCATAACACGGAGCCTGCCCAGTCTCACGCTTCCTAGCCTGAGTACAGGGAGTTGGCTCTGCTCTAACTCTAGGCTCCGCCAACCACCCTTTTAGCCCCCCCGAAAAAAAATCTTGGGGCTGTCTCTCGGGCTTCCTCCTCGGCCGGTACCCTCTGCGAAGCCGCTGCTCCTCTCTGTAGCGTGCCTCCACAGTCTCCTCCCAAGGACGGCGATCCATTCCGGCCTGAATCTCTTCCCAAGTCCAGGATCCCTTCCCGTCCAGGATCTCCTCCCAAGTCCAGGCTGTCTGTTCCTGGACACGCTGCTTGGTCCTTTTTGGGTGGGATCTTCTGTCACGAACGTTGACTGATGACTCGTGGAACCAAGGCGCAGCGTGATAAGCGTACATTTTATTTAGTACACAACACACGAACAAAACAACAAAACGAACGATACGTGAAGTCCTGAGGTTACAACAACACAAACCTTTACGGAACAAGATCCCACAAACTAACTGGTGCCAACAGGCTGCCTAAGTATGGTCCCCAATCAGAGACAACGAGCTACAGCTGCCTCTGATTGGGAACCACCCTGGCCAACATAGATCTAAACGATCTAGAACAAAAAACATAGAAAACATAGAAAAATCCACACCCTGGCTCAACATTTAAGAGTCCCCAGAGCCAGGGCGTGACACTCAATCCATATGCCAGCCTTTGATATGACCAATACATGTCTGTATTTTGACCACCTGTTGGCGTAAAGTGTCATTGTCAGGATAATTAGCGATAAGCTTTGATGATCGTTCTGGATGGTTCTTCACTCTCAACACCGATGTGCTCTTGATTCTACCCTCCGCAGGAATGGAGAGCAGATTGACTTCTTGGGCTTGGATGAGAACTTCAACTTTGAGATGCAGCAGGCCACCAATCTGGGAAATATTAAGACCATCAAACCAGTAAGCAACCATATACTTCCTGTATTTCAAATGGTTGTCATGGATGAGTGGTATTGTTAGTCTTTAGATCTTTCTTAAGGCAGTATCTCTTCCCCACTGCAGGGCGATGAGATTGTTGTGGAGTGCACCTATAACACAACCAATCGCAAAGGAATCACACAGTTAGGGCTGGCCACCACTGATGAGATGTGTCTAGCCTTTGTCTTCTACTACCCAGCCATCCCTGTCACCAGCTGCTGCAGCCACCCTAACATGCGTGCATACATGGCCATGATGGGGAAGACAGTCGACCAGTAAGAGCCTTCACATTGTCACAGTTTTCACCCACAAATGTCAATTTCTAGACTGGTACTGTGTCTGTTTGTTTTAGTGGATAGTTATGTGCATGCATGACGGTAAGTCGCTTTGGATAAGCATCTGTTAAATGGCATATATTATATTAAGTCCACCGGCTGTTACATGTAAACCAGAATGACTATGTGTGTGCCCCACAGAGACATTGAGGAGATGTTGAAGACTGCAGCTTGGGACCAGGCGTCTACTGCCGTGCACGAGGTCACAATGAAGAGGGTCCCTCAGATTGGGTTCATCATAGATGTCAATGTAAGCATCCACTCAATGAAAATGTTAATGCTCATGCTGTAATTTCAAAACATACTCTCCATCCATGTCGTGTTTGTTCCTTGCTCCTTCTACAGAGCAACTACACCATGTATGAGGGAAACATCCGCAACATGACGGCTACCCTTTCAGTGAGTTGCAGGAGTGATCCATCCTTACAGGGCCTCAACACCACACAGGCTGGGCCCCTGGAGCCATTTAACTACAACACGTCCCCCAGAGGAAGCAGTTCCTGGGTCGTGACCTCCGCTGCTGGAAGTGTCTTGCTGATGCTCTGGATGACAGTGCTATAAGAATCTGTCCAGGCCAAGATGAGAAAAAACATCAGCACTTCAACATAGTCATTCAATTTTGCCCTGCTCTGGGTAGGTCCCAGAATTTTTTTTGTCCATTCTATACATTATATTTCTATTGCTCCCATTCGTGCTCTAATAATTACAATGAATTAATCAAAATAGCCCAATGGCTATGTCTATTTAGCATTGATTGCTCTTTGATTGCACTAATCAAGTATACATAGGCAATTGCACATTAGATCAACCAAACTTTGATTTTGATGATAGGTCTTTGTTTATTCATGGAAATAATTATTAGCCTGGAGCTTCCATGATATTTCTGTAAAAGTAGGTATATTCAATTTTACAACATATTTAGTTAATTTTGTGATTAGACTGAAATTGTGATGAGTGTGATTAGATTAAAATGTGTTTCATCACCTTGACTGTGTTTATGTCTGTCTTCTACATTTACATTTAAATGTACATCATTTAGCAGATGCTCTTATCCAGAGGGACTTACAAATTGGTGCATTCAACTTATGATAGCAAGTGGGATAACCACTTTTTTTCTTCTTTTTTTTATTTTTATGGGGGGGTGGGGGAGGGGGGGGTAGAAGGATTGCTTTATACTATTCCAGGTATTCCTTAAAGAGGTAGGGTTTCAAGTGTCTCCGGAAGGTGGTCAGTGACTCCGCTGTCCTGGCGTCGTGGGGGAGCTTGTTCCACCATTGGGGTGCCAGAGCAGCAAATAGCTTTGACTGGGCTGAGCGGGAACTGTGCTTCTGTATAGGTAGGGGAGCTAGCAGGCCAGAGGTGGATGAACGTAGTGCCCTCATTTGGGTTTCTATGGTGTTTTTATCTCATTGGTCTGTAAATCAAAATCATACTGCTTTGCTCTCTCAAAAAAGTTAAAACATATTGCTCATTTTTCTTTAAAGTTTATGGTTCCTTTCGGTGCTTAATTTGTCAATTGGGAGGTCCCGGAACACATAGTGTGTGTGTGTGGGGGGGGGGGGGGGGGGGGGGGGCTCTGAGGTACCAGAACACATTGAGAAAAAAAGTGTCAAACTCAACGTAGCAGCCAAGTAGCCTACTATCTATGGTGGTGAAACGGATCAGCACGGTGTAATTAATTCAAAGCATTTTAGACGTCACTGCAGTATGCCCAGATACTTGAGTATAGCTGCGGGGCTTACACAAGTCCGAATTTCTTATAGCCTAATTTTCTAGACTTCAATGTACTGTAAGGACAGACGCTTGGAGACGAGAAGCAAGTACAGGGAGTGAACATTTAATGAAAAAACAGACAGGAACAAAACACTGACAGCGTCTGGACAACGGAAATGAAACAACATTAATGCAGACACGGGGATCAAACTGAGGAACAGACAGATATAGGGGAGGTAATTAAGCAGTGATGAAGTCCAGGTGAGTCCAATGAACGCTGATGCGCGTAATTAAGGTAACAGGTGTGCGTAATGATGGGCAGCCTGGCGCCCTTGAGCGCCAGGGAGGGGGAGCAGGAGCAGGCGTGACAGTACCCCCCCCAGGGAATGAGATGGCTAACGCGAATGAAATGATGAAGGCCAACAAGTCGGGTTCGGGTTAGCAACCATGCCCCCGGTCATGCGGTTACACCATATCAACAAAATATACTCTTGTTTGTTGTATTGTATGTCTCGGCTTGGTGCATGCTCAGGCTGCCCTTGCTTGAACCAGTTCGCATGCACATTGTCACCGGCTGCTTGGTGTTTCCAACAGTGACTTTCCTCTCCCGGAGGCCTGTACCTCGGCTGAGTCTGAGTTATGGGATGGATTTGGGTCTTTGGTCAGATCAAATGTCTCGTTTAGCCTGGGTTGTTGCATGCGGAAGCTGCCCTCGCTCAACCCGGGTCCTGTGCGCATTGTCGCCGGTTGTGGGAGGCTACTCTTGAAGGGAGAGGTTGGCCAGGTTCGGTGGGGACTCCCTGCCTTGGTCAAGCGTCACTTTCCTCTCTTCCCAGACTTGGTAAAAGAAGGGTCCGGCTCGCCTCTGTGATCTGGTTCTATGAGACTGTAGAGACAAGAATAGATAAACGCTGCAAAGCGTTGTTAACGCCAAGGCATGCTAGCTACTGCTACTAGCTATTACTGCCTCCCCACGGTAGAATTGAAGAGCAGCTCTGTCTTATCGAGGTTGAGCTTGAGGTGGTGGGCTGACATCCAAGCTGAGATGTCTGTCAGGCATGCAGAGATGCGTCACCACCTGGGTATCAGAAAGGGAGGAGGAGAAAAGTAGTTGTGTGTCATATGCATAGCAATGATAGGAGAGACCATGTGAGGATATGATGGAGCCGAGTGACTTGGTGTAAAGAGAAAAGAGGAGAGGGCCTAGAATCGAGCCCTGTAGTACGAACACATGGTGCTGACAAAGGACGACACAGGACGACCTGCCAGGTAGGATGCAATCCAGGAGTGTGCAGAGCCTGAGATGCCCAGCCCTGAGAGGGTGGAGAGGAGGATATGATGGATAACAGTGGCAAGGAAGTGGATAGATCTAGGAGGATGAGAACAGAGGAGAGAGAGTCAGCTTTGGCAGAGCGGAGAGTGTCTGTGACACAGAGGAGAGTGGTGTCAGTTGAGTGAGCCTCCTTGAAGCCTGACTGGTTAGGGTCAAGAAGATCATTATGAGAGGGATAACGAAAGAGTTTGTCATAGACAGCACGCTCAAGTGTTTTGGAAAGAAAATAACGAAGGGATAATGGTCTATAGTTTTTAATGTCAGATGGGTCGAGTGTTGGTTTGTTGAAGAGGGAAGCTGCTCTGACCATTTTTAAGTCAGAGGGGACGCAGCCAGTGGTCAGGGATGAGTTGATGAGGGAAGTGAGAAGGACTCCAGAGATGGTCTGGAGAAGGCAGGAGGGGATGGGGTCAAGTGGGCAGGTTGTCGGGCGGCCGGACATCACTAGTTACAGGATTTCATCTGGATAGAGAGAGGGGAGAAAGAGGTCAAGGCAAATCAAATCAAATCAAATCAAATTGTATTGGTCACATGCGGCGAATACAACAGGTGCAGACATCACAGTGAAATGCTTACTTACAGCCCTTAACCAACAGTGCATTTATTTTTTACAAAAAAAGTAAAAATAAAACAACAACAAAAAAAGTGTTGAGAGAAAAAAGAGCAGAAGTAAAATAAAGTGACAGTAGGGAGGCTATATATACAGGGGGGTACCGTTGCAGAGTCAATGTGCGGGGGCACCGGCTAGTTGAGGTAGTTGAGGTAATATGTACATGTGGGTAGAGTTAAAGTGACTATGCATAAATAATTAACAGAGTAGCAGCAGCGTAAAAAGGATGGGGTGGGGGGGCAGTGCAAATAGTCCGGGTAGCCATGATTAGCTGTTCAGGAGTCTTATGGCTTGGGGGTAGAAGCTGTTGAGAAGTTTTTTGGACCTAGACTTGGCACTCCGGTACCGCTTGCCGTGCGGTAGCAGAGAGAACAGTCTATGACTAGGGTGGCTGGAGTCTTTGACAATTTTGAGGGCCTTCCTCTGACACCGCCTGGTATAGAGGTCCTGGATGGCAGGAAGCTTGGCCCCAGTGATGTACTGGGCCGTACGCACTACCCTCTGTAGTGCCTTGCGGTCGGAGGCCAAGCAGTTGCCATACCAGGCGGTGATGCAACCAGTCAGGATGCTCTCGATGGTGCAGCTGTAGAATTTTTTGAGGATCTGAGGACCCATGCCAAATCTTTTCAGTCTCCTGAGGGGGAATAGGCTTTGTCGTGCCCTCTTCACGACTGTCTTGGTGTGTTTGGACCATGATAGTTCGTTGGTGATGTGGACACCAAGGAACTTGAAGCTCTCAACCTGTTCCACTACAGCCCCGTCGATGAGAATGGGGGCGTGCTCAGTCCTCTTTTTTTTCCTGTAGTCCACAATCATCTCCTTTGTCTTGGTCACGTTGAGGGAGAGGTTGTTGTCCTGGCACCACACGGCCAGGTCTCTGACCTCCTCCCTATAGGCTGTCTCATCGTTGTCGGTGATCAGGCCTACCACTGTTGTGTCGTCGGCAAACTTAATGATGGTGTTGGAGTCGTGCCTGGCCATGCAGTCATGGGTGAACAGAGAGTACAGGAGGGGACTGAGCACGCACCCCTGAGGGGCCCCCGTGTTGAGGATCAGTGTGGCAGATGTGTTGTTACCTACCCTTACCACCTGGGGGCGGCCCGTCAGGAAGTCCAGGATCCAGTTGCAGAGGGAGGTGTTTAGTCCCAGGATCCTTAGCTTAGTGATGAGCTTAGAGGGCACTATGGTGTTGAATGCTGAGCTGTAGTCAATGAATAGCATTCTCACGTAGGTGTTCCTCTTGTCCAGGTGGGAAAGGGCAGTGTGGAGTGCAATAGAGATTGCATCATCTGTGGATCTGTTGGGGCGGTATGCAAATTGGAGTGGGTCTAGGGTTTCTGGGATAATGCTGTTGATGTGAGCCATGACCAGCCTTTCAAAGCACTTCATGGCTACAGACGTCAGTGCTACGGGTCGGTAGTCATTTAGGCAGGTTATCTTAGAGTACTTGGGCACGGGGACTATGGTGGTCTGCTTGAAACATGTTGGTATTACAGACTCAGTCAGGGACATATTGAAAATGTCAGTGAAGACACTTGCCAGTTGGTCAGCACATGCTCAGAGTACACGTTCTGGTAATCCGTCTGGCCCTGCGGCCTTGTGAATGTTGACCTGCTTAAAAGTCTTACTCACATCGGCTACGGAGAGCGTGATCACATAGTCATCCGGAACAGCTGGTGCTCTCATGCATGCTTCAGTGTTGCTTGCCTCGAAGCGAGCATAGAAGTGGTTTAGCTCGTCTGGTAGGCTTGTGTCACTGGGCAGCTCGCGGCTGTGCTTCCCTTTGTAGTCTGTGATAGTTTTCAAGCCCTGCCACATCCGACGAGCGTCAGAGCCAGTGTAGTACGATTCAATCTTAGTCCTGTATTGACTCTTTGCCTGTTTGATGGTTCGTCGGAGGTCATAGCGGGATTTCTTATAAGCGTCCGGGTTAGAGTCCCGTTCCTTGAAAGCGGCAGCTCTACCCTTTAGCTCAGTGCGGATGTTTCCTGTAATCCATGGCTTCTGGTTGGGGTATGTACGTACGGTCACTGTGGGGACGACATCATCGATGCACTTATTGATGAAGCCAGTGACTGATGTGGTGTACTCCTCAATGCTGTCTGAAGAATCCCGGAACATGTTCCAGTCTGTGCTAGCAAAACAGTCCTGTAGCTTAGCATCTGCGTCATCTGACCACTTTTTTATTAACCGAGTCACTGGTGCTTCCTGCTTTAGTTTTTGCTTATAAGCAGGAATCAGGAGGATAGAGTTATGGTCAGATTTGCCAAATGGAGGGCGAGGGAGAGCTTTGTATGCGTCTCTGTGTGTGGAGTAAAGGTGGTCTA